AAAAAAAAAAAAAAATTAAAGGTGTATTTCTTATCAGTCTCGCACATCCACTGCACATCAGCAAGGAACTCAGTTTCACATCACCTCACTCAGGAACCAAAGCTAAGGGAGCCTCTGTCACCTACAACATCACTGGTCAACGAGGCAGGGGAAAGGAAACGCGGGAAATTATATGTGTGCATTAAATCAAATCACATTTTTCTTTGACAACACATTTAAAATAAAAGTGAATTACATAAAATGTTAGTTTGTAGCTTGCTTTGATAGACCTCTCCAAGAGGCACAGTTAATTATAGAAAATCTGACCCTCCAACCAGAACTCTCAGGTTGAATCGTTTTTTATAAACTGCTGTGTCTAACTTGTCCACGAATCTTGTAGATTCTGAATTTCCTAAATGCCCACTTGATTTGATTTTTTCTCTATACTCTCAGTCACTGCATTCAGGGCTTTCATCATCTTCCACCTAAGTACTGCAATCACCTGTTCCCTTGTCCTTTCTTCAGACTTATTTCATATCATTCCCTCTCCAAACCATTTTCCACACTGACACCAAAACGTGTAATCCTGTTACTTCTCTTAAAATTCCACAAAGACCTTTTATTACCTGAAGGAAAAGTTTAGACAGAGAATGGAAAGTTCTCTCCCTAGGTCCAGGCTACCTAGGCCTTCTCCAAAACGTGTTTAGTGGAAAAGTTATATGGAGAGACCATGTGTTCTATGGTCTGGTAAATTGAGAAAAGTCACCTTAACCCTTGTTTCTTTGCCCCAGGGATTGTCAGAGGTGAGAATCCAAGAGATGTGATTAAATAAATCTTAGGATTTGGTCTCCCTTCCTGTCTCTTCCTTGGCTATATTCCTACCTGAGTTACCACACACAATTACTCCTCCACTACCACTCTACCTCCTCTGCCTCCCTCCCTGGCCTGTGAACCACTGGCCCCCGCCCTGTTCTACACACTAGGCCCTCCCAACTCCCTTTCTGGATTGCTCTTTAGCCAGAGATCGACCTAGTTCACTCTTGCTCTTTCAGGGTTTTCTCAAAGGCTTTTAATGAAAACTTCCTTGACCTCCCATCCAAAATTGCCACGTTGCCTTCCTTAATACTTCCAACAGGCTTTTCCATTTTATTTTTCTCCATAACACTTAATGTTCATGTCTAAAATACTACACATTTTAAGTTCTTGTTTTATTTATCATCTGTGTTTCACAGTAGTGTGTAAGGCAGGAATCACAATCTATGCAGCTCACTACTATATATCCAGTGCCTAGAACAATGCCTGGCACATAAGGGACATTTAAAATATACTTGTTAAACAAAGCGATAAATGATAAACGAATGAATTTAAAAAAGAGTAAATCACACTTCCCAAAATTATTCTAGCACAGAGTTCTTTTCCATGGGGCACTTCACAAGACCGGTTATGACCAAATGCCCTCACCTTTTCTGCTCGCCTTGCCTGCTAAAGAGGCCCTGACTCTGCTTGTATGGCCCCTTCTCTCTCCTATGCCAGCTCTTGAGAATTGCTAATGCAGATTGTGGAGTCTGGGCCTAACTTACCTTGGTAGACATTTACATATAAAAGATGAAAAGTATTTCATTATATCTTCCCTGAAGTTTTTCACGAAATCCACTTCATTTATTGAAAAAACACTCACCAAATGTTAGCCATGTCCCAGGTGATATGTTAGGCTGATAGGGCAAAATGACTAATAGGACATAGGATTTGACCTCTGGGAAGACAGATGTAGAATCAAATAGAGAATTTTAAGTAGTAGGACAGAGATATGACTGAGTATTATGTAGATAAGCAGAATGTGTCACAATCTAAAAAGGTCAAAAAATGCTTTCCAAAGTGTTGGCCTTTGAGGTAAGCCTTAAAGGTTAAGTATAAACTTTAGGTGAAAACCAGGTTTATAAGGATCTTCCCAAACTGAAGGAAAGGCAGTGCAAAGGCATGGCACTATGAGAAGAAACTAGTAGCAATTGGATCAGTTGGAGGAAGGAAGGAATGTCTCCATAGAAGAGATCCGATATTAGGCAGAAACCACATGCAGTAAGACCTCATATAGCCTGTTACCAAGCTTGCAACAATGGTGGCTTTGTTCAGACACTCAGTGGAGGAGTGAGCTCCTCAAGAGGGATCCCAATGGAACAAGAACTCTAGGCAGGCATGAGACTGGCTGGCTGATACGGAAGGTGTGATCAAAATATATGATTAATGTTTAATTATTTTAAATTTGTTACAGTAAAAATCCCATTGCCATTAATCTCCTTCAAAATATTCCCTCTCACTTGAAATACACTTGCCCGATCATTTTTGCTCATTTCAGAAGCAGTTCTGGAAGTCTTATTTCACGAGTGTCTTTCTGGGGTGTAATCAAAAATACAATGAGTGCTGGGCTGGGGATTTACCTCAGTGGTTCCGCCGCCCACCTCGAAAGCACAAGGTCCCAAGTTCGATCTCTGGTACCAAAAATAAAAAAAATTTAAAAAACTACAGTGAGTGCTGCTTCTGAGTGCCATCCAACAGAAAGATAGGCTTGTAAAAACATTACTCTGTGTCCTCATCCACCTTATTTACCAGATCTAGCACCATGAAACAGTTGGTTCTTCTGCAAAGTTAAAATGAACATGAAAGGCAAATGCTTTGAATTGATTCGTGACACTGAGGCAGCCACAACAGCACAACCAAAGACACTCACAAAAGAAGACCTCCAAAACTGCTTCCGAAAGCAGCAAGAATGATGGGGTGTGTTCAGAGAAAGGAAGAGTAATAGCAGTGTGTCTCTTACTGTAATCCTTTTTTTTTCAATTAAAATATTCACCATATTTTTCAATCACACTTTAAAAATGGGCTCCTCATGTCCACCCTCCACTTAAGCTGGGCTGCCTCCATGCATTTTTAGGCCCACAAGGTGCCGGGGAAGGGGGTCAGTCAGGTGTGTCTCTTGATGGGCTCTGACAGTGTTGCTCTTGATGGCTCCACAGCTGAAGTTACTCACATTGGTGCTAGTGATGTGAGCAGGAAAGGGAGGTGACAGTGAAGCCCTGTCTTCAACCCTTTCACAGCAGCCCTTCCCGAACCTTCAGGTCAAATTACATCACCTTCCCCAAATCATGCATATTGCACATATGAAGTACCAGCCATGTACCAGGAAATAAGCCAACAATTGGCCTAGTCCTAAATCCTAACTCTCCTTGGCTGTTCCCCATGGAGTCACCTTTCCTACCTATGTTCTGTATATAAGTCTGTCTCCTTTACCTAGTCATAAGGTTCTTGAAATCAGGAAGAATATTTTAGGCACTTCTGTATCTCTCAGGTACTTTGCACAACACCTGGCATACACTGGGGATTTGATACGTATTTGCTGAAGTGTAAGTAATTGTCCAAGAGAAGTCAACCAGGTAACCACTGAAAACTGGCTTCACCAAAATCCTTCAGTTGTGTGTGTGAGCCTCATACCTGAGCTGGATTGATTCCAAAATGGAGTGCTGAGTCCCGCGGAAACTGGGATTCCCAGACCTCCATTAGAGGGCAGCACAGTTATAACATCAAGACGTAATCTGATGTCTAATCACTGGTCTGTGACGGCAGAAAATGTGTCCAGTCCAATAGACAGAAGGAAAACTGCAAAGAAAGCATTTAAGGCTATAAACAATTTTTCTTTATTCCTCATCTGGGTCCTGAGGCCTGTGATTTGGCTCCAATTTTTCATTTGTGGTTGTTTGTTTCAGATAATAAAACTGTTCCTTTAAAATAATGGAGACTATATTGAAGCTAAAAATAAATATCAAAAGACCAAAGTCCCAGAGTGGGAACAATTATTGCAAAAGGACCAACCAAGCTCAAAACAGCTGTTAAGGGATCCTGGAACAGGCAAAAGGAGCCTGGCCTCTTTTGGCTGATGGAGTCACATGGGCAAGTTGACAAACTGAAAAAAAGAAAACGTTAAAATACAGAAAACACACAGAGC